CCACAGTTATTATTAATCTGCTACCATGTCAATAAAAGCAACAGGTAGGAAGAACACAGTTTCATTTTATCAATTTTTCTTTTATGAATTATGACTTTGGTGTCAAGCCTACAACTTTTTCCTTTGTTAGGGGACTTGTGAATTTTCCCGCTTGTGTTTTGTTGTTGTGCTGAGACAAGTCTCTCATAGCTCAGATTGACCTCGAACTTACTCTGTAAGCTAAGGATGACTGTGAACTGACCCTCCTGCCTCCGTGTCTCCCTCGAGCTCTGAGACTATAGGAGTACACCATCATGCCCAGTTCATGCCATGCTGGGGAGTGAGTGTAGAGCTTCAGCCACACTGGGCAAGAACTCTACCAACTAAGCTGCAATTCCAGTCATTAAGTTCCTTTTAAAAGTCTTCTTTCTTATCATTTATATCTATTTAGGTGCTCTTTAATGTCTTCAGGGAAACTGTGATTCTGAGCATATAAACATTACGCATGTTTTGCTAGATTTATATCAAGATACTACACTTTCCTTTGAAAAACTACAAATGCTATCCTGTTTTTTGAGTTTTCAGTTTGTTCATTATTAGTATGTAGAAGAGTAACTAGTTTTTTTATGTCAGCCTTTATCCTGAGATCTTACTGAACTCACAAGTTAGAGCAGACTTTCTGTATTTTTTCCCAATGTTTACAAACCTGTAAGCTATAAATAGAGACATGTTGTGTCTTCTACTTTAAACCTCTATGCCTTCTATTTTTTTATTTGCCCTATTATATTGCCTGTGATTTCCTACAATGCAGTCATGCATTGTGTAACAGTGACAGGGCATTCCTGCCTTTTTCCCTGGTCTTCTAAGTTTCCCGTCACTCAGTATTTCAGCATCAATCTGGTTTGCTATGATATTTGTAGACTCTCTTTATTAAGTTTCGGATATCCCCCTTTCCAGTTTGATAGAAATTATATTACAAAGGGCAGTTGGATATTGTCAATTGCTTTTTCTGTGTAAACTGGTATGGTCCTATGACCTCTCTCCTTTAATCCACTGATAAAGAGAATTTCACTGAAGTCACTGTTGAGTTTTGAAACATCCTTGCACATCAGCAATGAATCCCATTAGGCCACAGTACATAATTCATTTTACACATTGCTAGATTTAATTTATTAACATTTTGCTGAGAATTTTACTAAGTCAATGAGTGCTCCTTTATACTGTTAGAGTGTTGAGTATCAGGATAATTCTGGCTTCCTAAAATAAACTGTGAAAATAAGAATTTTCTTGTTTTTCAGAAGAGATTCTGCAAAATTTCTTAATTGACCACTAGAATTTCTAACCAAGTCCAGGCCTACAGATTATTTTTCAAGAGTTTTTAATCATTACTAAAATTTTAATTTCTGTAACATTTAGAACTATTTGGGCACTCTATTTTAACTTTGTTGAATTTGAACAGCTGGTGGTTTTAGAAGAATTGGTCCCTTCTTCTTGAGCTGTCAGATTCACAAACGTTCTTCCCCATTGGTCTTCTAATAACTGCAAAATCCCTGATGACGCAGCCTCTGTGATTTCCAGCACTGCTGATGTGGGTCCTTCTGATTTCCTGTCGCTGCTGTTTATCTTGGCTTGTTTTCTACTGCTATGACAAACATCGTTACTGAAAGCAGCTTGGGGAGGGGAGGGTTTATTTTTTTCATCTTTATAGCTTACAGTCCATCATGAAGGGGAAATAAGTCAGGGCAGAAACCTATAGGCAGAAACTGACCAGAGAGTGTGGAGGAACACTGCTTAAGACTTGCTCTTCATGGCTTGCTCAGCCTGCTTTCTTAATACAACTCATGACTTGCTCAGGGGTGGCCCCACCCACAGTGGTCTGGGTCCTCCCACATCAATTACTATTCAAAAAAATGACTCACAGACTTGTCGAGTTTCTCTCTTGGGGCCACTTTATCCGTGTTATCACTATCACTCATTCCTATGTATTTTTTTTAAGTTCCTTTGAGACTTGATGTTTGATCTAAAGATTATTCAAAACTATGTCAATTTAAATGAACAAACATGCAGTACATATACACAAAAACATAATATTTAGCCATATGTAAAAATTAAATTATTTTTGGTGGGGAAAATCGAACTATGGGTTATACTGTTTACTAATATTAGCTGGGCACATAAAAATACGTATTATATGTTTTCTCTCAAATGTAAAAACTAAATGCTATTGATCAGCCATCAAGCTCACTGATTCTACTCTCTGTCTTTGTCTATTGCAGATTATTTTGTAAATCTGTTATTTCATTTACTGTAATTTTCAGTTCTATAATTGACATTAAATTTTTAAAATTCTTCTGTTTCTTTGCTGGAATTCTTTTTCCTTTGTTTTTGCTTTGAAGACATGTTTTATTATCATAGAAGCATTTTTTTTGTAGTGATTACTTTTAAATCCTTGTCATAAAATTTAGCATCTCAGTCTTTTCCTTTAGCATCTGTTGATTTTTTAATTTCCTTCATCATTCTTCCTGGCTTATCAAATGATGAGCAAAGCTCTGTTTTTCTTACTTGTGTCCAGGGTGTTACAATAAGATCCTGTTTCATTCTGAGTTTCCGAAGGTCCTTTTTAAGTATGTTCCTTTTTCTGCTGGACTCACCCAATATTGTCCTAACAAAAATGGACCACTAATTTATACTGTCTGGGCATGGGAACAAAGAGACAGAATGCAATTTGTCCCACTTTCCACCACCTCATAACGCCCCTGGTTGATTCTGGGTGAGGAGGGAGACTTAGGACTCAGTCTCTCACTAAAACCAAGGCAGGAGAAAGTGGAGTATTAACTTCATACCACTTCACTCTTTTAAGACCAAGGGATGCTAGGGCTCAACTCCCTGCCAGCTGCTTTGGGGATGGAGAGGGATGAGAGTTGTGGTTTGAATCTAAAATTACTATTGAAGGCCCTGTGCTAAAGGCTTGTTTGCCACTTGATGGGCTTCGGAAGTGATTGGATCACGAGGACTCTGAACTAATCAGTGGATTGGTTTGTTGATGGGCTCATAGCTTGATAGGCTATTGGAGAGATCGGATCGGATCCTTGAAAGTATGTACTTGGAGCCCATTATCTTGTCCTGTGCTTTCTGCTTCCCAGCCGCCCTGAGGTGAGCAGCTCTGTTCCATTACATCATCCTCACCATTATGTTCTGTCTCACGGGCCTAGAAACAATGAGGCCAAGAGACCATGACAAAAGCCTCTGACGCTGTGAGTCAGCATAAATTCTTCCTAGTTTACATTGTTTCTTGGGCATTTTGTCATGACGATGGAAAGCTGATGAGAGCTAGCCCTCATTCTCACAGCTGATACTGGGGTGGACATCTCTTTCCATCACCTGATTGGTAGATATAGAGGCTCTGTTCATAATAAGCTCCCACGACACTACCTGGAGGAGAGTCTAGAACATTCTCTGCTGCTGAGAGGAATTCAGAAGATTAATTTCCTGCATGCCACAGGGTAGGTACATGGGTGCTGCCTACTTCCTTGGGCTATGGGAAAAACACATCGGCTCCCTGCTAGAACCCACAGAAGTTACTGGTGAGTGGAGTTAGAAGAGGGTTAGATTCTCATTTCCTTGTGCCTAGCTGCTTCAAAGTGGACATTGCCAAGTTTTTCCACTGTTAGGCCACTGTCTTCCTGGTCCTTCAGCTATGGGAGCAGCCTTCATTTTGAAATGTAGTTTGTCCATGCTTTTTAGAAACCTAAACAATAATTGTCTTTTCATTTCTCGAGATCCAAGGTCCCTAGCAAGTCAGTATGTTTCTTTCTCCTTTCAGTCCCACCCTGCTTGTTTGCCGGGTATTGTCCAGGATGCTGAATTATTAAGAGAGAGAACCCAAGGAGGAGGTGGCTATTCCACTGACAGAGCACAGCCCCTGTTATTCATCTGTTGTTACTGTTCCTTTTGTTTTCCTGCATATGTATGTACGTATGGACAAGTGCACATGTATGAGGAGGCCTGAGGTTGATGTCAGGTGTCTTTCTTCATTGCTCTCCATTGTCTATATTGAGTCAGGGTCTTTCATTGAACCCAAAGCTCTCTGTCTTATCTAGTATAGCTAGCCAGCTTGTCCCATGGAGGCCGGATCTCTGCCTCCTGTGTTGGGATTACAGGCAGCTTCTGTCATGGGCCCTGAACTGGAGTCCCTGTGACTATGGCGGCAAGCCTTTTACTCACTGAGTCATCCAGCTTCTATTACTCTTGTTTAAAAATAACAATTATATCCTGTGTGCAATTTTATATAATTTTACTTACCAAAAGTTTTACATTTCCATTAGAAGCAGAACTGCTTGCAAGCATAATTTTAAAGGTGATATATAATTCCCTACTGAGTGGTCAGAGTATGATGTCCATAATCAGTTTGCTATGGATATTTATTGCTATAATAAATCATGTAGTGGTGATAAGGTATTGCTTCAGTGGATTTTTTGTTGTTGTTGTTTCTTCCATATTTATGATTATTGGGGTAGAGTCCTGGGGTAGAATTACACATAGTCCCATAGCAACATGCAAACCCTCTAGTACCTTCAACAATAATGAGACTTTAGCATGCTTTCAGCCATGAGCTAACTTGACAGAGAAAAGAGAATAGTGCCCCATTTTGTCCTAATATGCATTTCTGTGTTGACTAGTGGCACTGAGCAGCCAAAACTTTTGAACTTAGCATTCTGTCTTTTACTTGCTTATCTTCAGGGCCTGCATACTCTATTCAAACAGTCTTACTTGTAGAAAAATCTGAGTTAGTACATGCAAGCAGTTTTCTGAAACTACAAAGACATATTTCAACATCAAAGATGACCTAAACGAGAAATAACCCAATCCCCTGTTCAACTGCCTAACAGGAAAACACCTGCCAATTAAATAAAGATATCAGATAACGATAAAAGGTACAAAACACTTCAGATTTTTTCTGGATAACTCTTGTTCTTGAAAACCATGCTGTTTAAAATGAATAAATGTGTCCTGAATCTTACCTGAAGCATGACGACATTGTCACCTTCAAAGGTTACAAACACATCTGTGTCACATTTCAGGCCTGAGATTCGGTTTTCCATCATGTAACCCTGTTGCAGAAAAAGAGGAGGGGAGATGGGCGAGGAAGAAGGAAAAAAAAATTTTAATTTGCAATCCCATCATTATATGGAAACAATAGCTTCTTCAAAATCAAGAGATCAGAACACTGAGAATAATAAAATAACATCGTATTTTCTTACGCAGAATAATTCTGATCTATTGCGTTAGCTTTGAGGTCATAAATACTATTTTGGGTATTGTCTTCGCTAATAGTAAAACACCTACAAATGGTCATTTCGTATTTAACCAAAAGACTTCAATTAATTACACTAATAGCTTTGAGGTCATAAATACGATTTTGGGTATTATCTTCACTGATAGTAAAACATCTACAAATGGTCATTTAGTATTTAACCAAAATATTAATCAATTATACCAATATTCTTTTTTTTTCCCAACTCTTCTGAGTTCTACTAGAGGCCTACACTCACTATGTGCAAGAGGCTCTCCCTCACCCCACAGGCCTCACAGTTCTCCCTTCCCTTTTCTCACGGCTGGCTCTCCCTCACCCCACAAGCTTCATATTTCTCCCTTTCCTTATCTCATGTCTCTTATATCTGGCTCTCCCTCACCCCACAGGCCTCACAGTTCTCACTTTCCTTTTCCCACATCTGGCTCTCCCTCACCCCACAGGCCTCACAATTCTCACTTCCATTTTCCCACGTCTGGCTCTCCCTCACCCCATATATTTCACATTTCTCACTTCCCTTTCCCACATCTCTCAAATCTGGCTCTCCCTCACCCCATAGGCTTCACAGTTCTCACTTCCCTTTTC